TAATATTATTTGTAATCCCATGGTAGACTGAACTATTCTTTAAAGATATGTTTGATTCCTTGCTCTTCCATTTTTTCCTGCCTCCCTCCATGTTATTACAGGGTACAACACAACACTGACTTTGGGCAGGACAATGAATCTCTGTATTTTGGGCTCTCCCCATGTAAAATGAGTGTGATTCTTCCTTACTTTATTTTAAGTTATAGGGATACTTTACTAAAGTATAGTATCAGAGGGGTAGCCGTGTTAGTCTGAATCTGCAAAAGCGGCGAGGAGTCCTGTGGCACCTTATAGACTAACTGAAGTGTAGGAGCATAAGCTTTCGTGGGCAAAGACCCACTTCGTCAGATGCATGCATCTGACGAAGTGGGTCTTTGCCCACGAAAGCTTATGCTCCTACACTTCAGTTAGTCTATAAGGTGCCACAGGACTCCTTGCCGCTTTTTTAGTAAAGTATAGTATTTTTTAATGTTTATAAAACTATTTGAGATTCTCAGTGTTATTACAGCACTTAGATCCCACATTAAAAATGAACCCTTCAGAAGCACTAAAAAGAGATTAGTTACAGAATGCCAAAGGCTGCTCCTACTTATGCACATCACAATCTTGAATAACTCTGTGAAAGCCAAGCTTATTATTCCAGACCTGCACTGGTGTAACGGAGAACAGAACTGGCTGATGACAACAATTATGGAAAAACAAATCCAAAAGCTCTCTTTTTCACTTGTGGCTAGAATTAAGAAAACCCATATGATGTCTTTTTACCTATCAATTAATGGGCATTCTGCTAATCAGCTGGGTAGCATTTGAATATTTCCTAAGCAGCTGCATAAATGCATATCTTATAAGGAAGACTGTTATCGTCTGCCTGGGCTCAGGTACAATAGTCTTTCCTCCATGATATAAGTGTAACTTGCAGATGTTATCCAGTTTCATTCTGGTGCCTACATCACCACAGAAACATGTGCAGCACCTAACTAGTTGATTGCACTGATGGAAATGCTGCTTGCAAAATTCGGAGGGGAGGAGGAAAGGCTAATCCCAAATGTTCTGTACGTGGTACCTGAAACATTGGTTAAAGAAGTAAATTTGATACAACAGAACGTGTAATTCTACATTCTTTATTCATGTAACAAGTTTCCATCAAACAAATGAGTCCCTAATTCTATTTGCTTTATAGTTAAAGGATTCTCAGTTGGATGTGTCATTACCTAATTTTGAAGATCCTTGTAATTTTTGTGATAAATTCGTAGTTGGACTGGCTAATTTTATTTTTCTTGCTTTCTTTTTACACAAAAATAAATTTTTGTGGGACAGTGATATGATACTAGACAGAATGAAATTAAATTCACAATGTCGTTTAAGAGGGATTATAAAGAGCCATAATAACTCACTTTATTGACAAATGCATTTTGTAAATGATGCTGACTTGCTGCCATTTTGAAGATTTCTCAGATCTAAGGAACACAGGCTTTCAGAGTAATTATAGTGTAATAAATCACCAAAACGAATCAGGGAATAAAAATTAGTTGACTGTACCAAGAGGTGTAGACTCCCTGGTGGATAAAAATCAATGGGTTTTTTAAATAAAAAATGTATTTTTTATTTTAAATCAGATTTTTTATTTAAATTGGATTGTTTTTTAAATCATCAAGAAAATACTATTTCTAATTTAAAATAATCATTATGATGAAATGTTATCATAGGTGTGCTACGCCTACAATTACAGTATCATAAAAATGATCTAATGCAGTGATCCAACCTTTTTAAGCATGAGATCACTTTTTAAATTGAAGTGCAATCCAGGATCTACCTCAAATCCAAACACCCTTGCCCCGCCTCCTTCCTGCCCCTTCCCCAAGGCCCCACTCGGCTCACTCCATCCTCCCTCCGCCATCCTCACTCACTTTCATCAGGCTAGGGGCAAAGGTTTGGGGGGCAGGAGCGGTTGAGGACTGGGGTCGGGGTTTGGAATGCAGGCTTCAGCTGGGCACCACTTACCATAAGTGGCTTCTGAATGGTGGTGCAGGGGGCTACAGCAGGCTCACCCTTCCCCTGGTCCTGCACCATTCCCAAAAGCAGCCAGCAAACTCTCTCTATCCCTCATCCCTTCTCCCCTCCCCCCAGCTCTGTGCAGATGGGGTACTGGGTGGGAGGGAGGGGCACCCTTATATCAGCTCCTCCCTTCCTCCTCTTCCTGTGCCCTGTACAGCAAGCAGGAGCCTCCCTGGGGTGGGGGACAGCTCCAAAGTAGAGGCAGGAGCAGTACAGCAGTGCTTAGAGTGGCAGATGAAGTGCCGGTGCTTGATTGCCTCTCAGCCAAACCTCTCAGGATCACCTGTCAAAGGCTCCAAGATCTACTAGTAGATCCCAATCTATTGGTTGGTGATCACTGATCTAATGGCTCTAATCTGTCCAGCCTAACAACCAGGTCTTCCTTCTTGAAAGTCTTCCATGTCTGTTTCTCAGCAGACTGTCATGTGCACAGACGCAGACTGGATAGGATTGCTTTAGTTCTGTGCTTATGTAGTGGTGGTCCTGAGCCAAAGAAGACAGAGTTAGTTAAGACATTGTCTAGACACAGAGAGACAATATATAGGAAAGGACAGAGGCAACATAGTAAGGAACAGTGGAGTGAACTGAAAAGAAAAAGGGAAGAAATTTTTCAGCACAAACAGAGCTTCCTATATTCCCTTACACTTTTGTTATAGAAAAGTTGTCATGGCTTCTGGGTATAAAAGAGACCCTTTCTGGGAATATTTTGAAGAAGTCTGTTCCCTGGATTAAAAAAGGTTTAGTTTAGCTAATCCTTACGGCTTGTTTAATTAGTTAACTAGGTTTAGAATCTATTACTGCAGCTTTCTATACTGTATATTTGGGTAAGAGAAATCTAGAGTTGGAAATAGCCACTGTGTCATTTTCTTATTTTATGTTTCATAATACATGCACCTTACTTGGGAACATCATGGTCATAGACCGTAATGGTGATACCATACGTCTATTTCCTTTTTACTTCAGCATAATTTAGCTTTCCCAAAGGAAAAATGATGTTAGGAATCATTAAGAAAGGGATAGAAAATAAGACCCAAAATATCTTACTACCCCTGTATAAAACTATGGTACGCCCACATCTTGAATACTGTGTACAGATGTGGTCCCCTCACCTCAAAAAAGATATTTTGGCCTTGGACAGGATTCAGAAAAGGGCAACTAAAATGATTAGGGGTTTGGAAAGGGTCCCATATGAGGAGAGGTTAAAGCGATTGTGACTTTTCAGTTTAGAAAAGAGGAGACTGAAGGGGGATATGATAGAGGTATATAAAATCATGAGTGGTGGGGAGAGGGCTGATAACTTTTCTTTATTTATTAGTTCCCATAATAGAAGAACTAGAGGACACCAAATGAAATTAATGGGTAGCAGGTTTAAGACTAATAAAAGAAAGTTCTTCACACAGCGTGTAGTCAGCCTGTGGAACTCCTTGCCAGAGGAAGCTGTGAAGGCTAGGACTACAATAGAGTTTAAAGAGAAATAATAATTTCATGGAGGTTAGGTCCATAAAAGGCTATTAGCCAGGGGATAAAATGGTGTCCTTGGCCTCTGTTTGTCAGAGGCTGGAGAGGGATGGCAGGAAACAAATCGCTTGATAACTGTCTTCGGTCCACCCTCTCTGGGGCACCTGGTGCTGGCCACTGTCAGCAGACAGGATACTGGGCTAGATGGACCTTTGGTCTGACCCAGTACGGCCGTTCTTATGTTATGTTATGTAACCCCATCTTATACTTATTTTCAATGGCACTTTCTCCAAAGTGCTCTCTAAGCAGTCAGTCTTAGCTTTTTTTGGTAACTTGGAATCAGATCTGCATCAAAATGACAGTGGGAGTGGGGAAAATGAGAGTTAATTGTAGAAGTTTTAACGACACCATACATTTTGTGTCCTGAGGACTTATCTGTTAAGATAATAAAATTTGAAAATTAAAAACAAACACATTTAAGGACAGCCATCAGCTGGCAACACAGGAGACTAGTGCAATTGCAAGTGTGAAACTCTTATGTAACTTTTAAGATTTAGCTTAATAAAATATAAGTGCTATTGTGTCTATACAGCAAATTATTGGGATGTAGTTCTTACCATTCCTAACGTACTGCTGCTGCATCTGCAGCTCTGTACAAACTCTGTACAGGGGTAGAATTATAGAACTAGAAGGGACCTTGAGAGGTCATTGAGTCCAGTCCCCTGCCCTCACAGCAGGACTAAGCACCATCTAGACCATCCCTGATAGATATCTTATCTAACCTGCTCTTAAATGTCTCCAGAGATGGAGATTCCACAACCTCCCTAGGCAATTTATTCCAGTGTTTAACCACCTGACATTTAGGAAGTTTTTCCTAATGTCGAACCTAAACCTCCCTTGCTGCAGTTTAAGACCAATGAGTATTATGTACTATTTCCTAAATTAACTTGATTTTTATTATCTAAAAAAATTACATGAAATATACCCTCTTAGATGTAAAATACTGTCTTGAGGTGTAAATTAACATGTTTTAGTGATCAGATTTTCACCACTGAAGAAATATGTCAAGAATTACTTTGGGAAACTTGATTTAAATCAGTTATTTTTGGTTATTTAAATTGTGATTTAAATAAATGATCTAAATCTCCTTGAGTTAAATCAATTCACCCTGATAGACTCAGAACTTTTGAGTTCATATCCCAATTCTTATGGTAGGATATGAACTCTCTCTAGTTTTGGGCAAGTCAGTTAATCTCTCTTCCTCTGTTCCTTTAATTATGAAGTGGGGTTATTATTTATCTGATATTGAGCTACAAAAGTTTGAATTATGACTCACATGTTGATTTTTTGGAAATGAAAAGCAGGATGTAGCCTCAAAATGTTTTATTAAATAGAACTTTTTTAAAAAATACTGCAGTACTCTGTGCAGAGAAATGCACAGAAAACATGTTGTATGTACATCTTTCAAAATATATTTTAATTCATAGATTGAGTATGAAAAGAAGAAAAAAGAAGATGGAAAACGAGCTCGGGCTGATAAACAGCAAGTGTTGGACATGCTTTTTTCTGCCTTTGAAAAACACCAGTATTATAACATTAAGGACTTGGTGGACATAACGAAACAGCCTGTGGTATGTACCTGTTTATAATAGCCTTCTTAACATATTTTTCAATTATTACTAGTAGAAAATATATTGATGTATTAGATATATGTTTTTTGTACTTAGAATATATAGTCTTAAAATATATGTTTTAAAATGTTTGTATTATGTGTCTGTAGTTAAAAGAGGTATATTGGTGCACAATTTTAAGATATGTGTATTCAGAACTGAACATACACAATATTGTAGGGACAATCCTCTCTTGGCAAAGAGATGGCTAAAATAATAGATTGCTTCTATATTTGGATTCTGTGTTTTAATGCTAAAATCAGATCCTGTGCCTATATAAATATGTAGAAAAAAGTTGAGTATAATATCAGTCCCCAAATACATTTAATATTAAATATTCTCATTATTTCCAACACACAGACTTTTAAAATTCCACTTGTTTGGAGGGCAGTTCTTCTATATAATTTGTGTGTGTGAATGTTTAGAATGAACTAAACTAACTTGAAAAGAAACACATAAATACTTATTCAAAAATGTGCTTTGTTGGTGTAGCTGTTTGTCCTCTTTTTCTTGGTGAAATGATATTCCATGGCCTTATGCAACAGACACCAGCCCTTGGATTTCTTTTCTGTTTCCCATTTGGGCAGGTGCCAGTCACACCCTCAGCAAATGCTAGCAGCCCTCTGCAGTGTAGAGGGTATCTTTTATTCCATGTTAGATCTGGCAGGGGAAGTGGAAAAAGTGTTGCACTATGATTTTGCCTCTTTCTCTAGTTACTTGATATTTCTGTCTTTATGGATACTGTCAGTAGAGCATCATGAAGTGCAGATCTGCTCTGCAGCCTAACTCCCTCATTCCCTTTTGCATGAGGCTTTCTCATGGAGCTACAGTGTAGAAGTCTGTAGGGAGGGTGCGTGCACGCATACACACCACTCTCCCCTCCCCCCAAGAACTGTAAGTAGCTGCTTGCCCACTGAAAGCAGTAGCAATCCCAGGAAACCAGTAGCAGAAACTGCAGCAGTTCTGACTCATTTCCTGAGCTCCTGTTATCATATACACCACACAAATAGTGGCCCAAATTATAACACAAAAGTATAAGGTCCCTATATTCTTTATTATAATACAGTGAATACACATGCCAATTTTGCTCACTTCTTATGTATTAAATGTGAATTATGCAGAATTTAACCAGTTAAATGATGGAATGACTTCCTTGAGCAGATCCACAGAACCATGACTCTTCTTCAGGCTGCTGAAGGCTCATTTCTTCTGAGACACATAGAAGAAACAAACTGATTAATTCATACATTTCTCTTGTCATTTATTTATTATATGAGTAAACTCTTCATCTGTTTGGAGTGGGAGGATGTGGGGACACAAGCTGAGAGTTGGTGTGGGAGGAAGATGAGGGCTGAGCTTTATGGAGAGAATGGGCAAGAGACTTATGTTTTCAATTTTAAAAAACGATAAAAATGTACCAGTAATATGCGACCCGTCATCCTATTAGTTGTGTTGCTTATATGTTGCACTCTTAGTCACACCTTTTGTCCTCATCATTTTAATCTATCCTTACTGGGAGCAAAGACTTTATCATCTTCTGTATTTGAAAGCACATAGCACAATCTGGGCTATACACCAATCTAAATATATCTGTCACTTTCATTTTATTCCATGAAGGAAATGATATTCTGCTCATAGTGTGGTGGATCTACATTAATTAATTACTCTAATTTCAAGGAACTCTATTGCTTTAAACAGTACAACTCTTTATAATGATACACTTTACCTACATTTATACTCTGTTCCAACCCAATACAGTAAAACTCCAATGGTCCGGCATCTGATGGTCCAGCACCATCAGGAACCCGGAAGTGCTCCAGGCAGCTGGACCATTGGAGCTGCTCTGCCCCCAGCTTCCCCGCTTCAGCCGCTGCTCAAACTGACCAGCGCTGAATCGGGGAAGCTGGGGGCCGAGCAGCTGGGAG